ACACACACACACACACACACACACACACACACACACACACACACACATCATTTATCAGTATCATGGTTTTTTTTGAGCCAAACAGGGATTTTATAGAAGTTACACAGTTTACACGAACTCCTAGTTCAGTGCTCTTTTTGATGGCATGTACATAAATTAGGACATACACTCATTCATCAATGTGACCTTGCTGATGATCAAACATTCTCCATTTTATTATTATTATTATTTTTATTATTATTATTATTACTAAGACCCAAAGAGATGCTTTCTTACCTTTGGGAGCCTGTATTTGTCCCTGAGGTGGACTCGGAGGCATGCCCTCTCTGCCTTCTTCTGAGTAAATGCAGCGTCTCTCTCCATCCTATGAAAGAGAAAGAACAGGAAATGGGGTCACGGGAGACTGAAAGCCCCACACGTTCCAGCTGGTGCTCAGGGACCAGGACCTGAGACTCACTTGATTGCCACTGGCCACTGACATTTGGGGAAAGCGTGGATTTCCCCCTCCAGTTCCCTGATATTTGCTCCCCTTTTGCTACCATCATGGCACTCCAGCACTCTGGACCTCTACGTCCTCAGGCAAGCCGGGCCTGGGAATGCCTTTGTGAAGTAAACAGAGCATCAGAAGGATGACTGTAGATGTACTGTGTGGTCCGGGACCCTGAGCCTCTCACCCGTGGGGAAGGTAGATTCCACCTGTGCTCTTCTCCTGCTGCCTCAGAACCTTTTAAATGGGAGTCGGGGTAGGGGATGTGCCTGTGTTTCATTGTCACTGCTGCCAGGCCCCAGAGACAGTGTTTAGACATGTTCCCTTCCCTAGTCAGAAGCACAGTCCACAAATGAGGCAGTGTTGATTCTTGTCATGCCAGCCAGACAGAGGGCCTGCTCCATGGACGACCTAATTCAGACGTCCTCAACATGTGGGTCTAGGCTTGGGCATCACGTATCAGATATGCTATATACCAGATATTGACATTATGAGCCATAACTGGCAAAATTAGTTATGAAACAGCAGCAAAAATAATTTTGCGTTTTGGGTCCATCACCCCATGAGGAACTGTATTAAAGGGTCACAGCTTTAGGAAGGTTGAGAATTGCTGGCCTAATTGGACCCATGGGTAGGCCAATTTGAAATGGACTCCCTGGGTCATGATGATCTCAAAAGTGTAAAGTTTTGGGAAATGTGTCCAAAGCCCATGAGAATCACCCCCTTCCTTAGTTGCCCACAGAGGTGTATTAAAGGTTAATGCTGAATCTGTCTAAAGGCACTGTCAAAACAGCAGTATTGGGACGGGCCAGGTTGGATAAGAAGTTTCTTTGGAAAGCTGGCATTGTGTTGCAACTGAGAAAAACAGACTTGCAGCATGGCTTGAAGAATAACAAGTCAACTTGAAGGCCAGTGGCTGGCACTTTCCACTTCTGTGTGGTCTAGGGCATAGAAGGCTGTGTGTGAGCGAGAGCTGGCTGCTCAGGAGGCAGGAAAGCAGCCTTATGGGGACAGTGGCAAGAGATGGAAAGAGTGCTCACGGCCACTCAATAGCTACTTGGTCTCTCTGTATGCCCAAGGCAGGCCTGCTAAGCTTTCTGCTGGGGACTCTATGGAGCTGATTTGCACAAAGCATTATTTGGGTGAAAATAAATCTTGTTTTCATTTTTTTTAAGATGAAATCTGACTATTTGTTTGTTTGTTGTTGTTGTTGTTTTTTAACTTCAAACTGAGATGTAATCCTAACCACTGCATGAAAGGCTAACTTTGAAAGAGAGGCTACACCTGAAGCAAGCAATCAGATTAAATTACTGATCACTGTGCCTTGGGCCCTAGCGGTCTTGGCTCAGTTCTGTCTCCAGAACATTCCGGCATAGGCCTGGGATAGAACTGTGTTCAACCTTCTAATTTGTAAAGAAAAAAAAAAATAGAAAAAAAAGTTATTTCTTCAATGCCCTGTGGCATGGGTAGGAAGCAAATCTTTTCTACTCAATATTTTATTAGGAAAACTTTTAAAAACACACAGGAAACTTGAAAGAACTTTGGACTGAATGCATTTCAATGCCCTAGCACCTCCAGTTTACACCTCATGTTTTAACACACATTTTAACTACCCTCTGTCTATTCATTTATTCATCTCACTTTCTGACATATTTAAAGCTGCAGAAATCGGTAGGTATACCTTCCTAGAACACTTCAGCAGCTGCAGTTACACACTTTACTTCTTCTGCTTTTCTTTTGAAGAAGAAAAAAAAAAAACTGAATATACTTCAATTCCCACACTTTAAAGCATACCATTTGGCAATGCCCCCAAATGTTCACACCTGTGTAACCAAAGCCCTTTAATCAGAAAGACCAGAAAGATACCCCAACAGTTTCTTTTTCTTGACCAATTAAATCAAGACCAATTAAAAATATGCCTAGACCAGGCAGTGTGAAGGCTAAGCAGGATGGACAGAGCCGCAGAGTCCACCTGCACTGGTACTGTGCAGGGGCAGGGATGCTACAGGATTCTGCTTCAGCAGGACCAACTGTCATCAGGTTAGAGGTAAAGAGTCAAAGGAAAGGCATCCTCAGAAGCCAAGAGCCATCCGCTGGGCACTGGGAGCTTGCGGGCGGAATGGACTCCCTTTGCTCTGAGGAGAGCAGAAGTCTGGTACTCACTTCTCTTCAATCATCTGCTTCTGGTACTCCTCGTATTCCTCTCTAGTCATCCCTTGAGCTGCTGCGGGGTCCGAGGTGGCTCCTTCTTCTTTCTTTTCTTCAGACCCACCTCCAAATCCTAAATTCTTCACCTGGTTACTTATCATATTTTTCACAAAGAAAGCCATTGTTCCTGCCTCAGAGAACTGACACCTAGTCAGAGATCGACAATAAGCCAACCGGACGGAGGCAAACCCCCAGATATTCTCAACCACAGCTCCACATTTGGGAGCGAAGGATTTGCACAGCCTCCTCTGTCCAAGGGCACAGCGACAGGGGAGAGTGCTTTTGCTAGTCGTAAGCTGGATTAGAGGCTGAACTCTTAGCAGAGAGGCAGATGGTTCCGATTACTAAAGCCTACGGTCAGATGCAACCCCTCTGCCTTATGATTAATACACTCAGCTAATTTCACAGGGCAGAAACCCTACCCATTCTCTGTCCTGCTCTCCTCAGCCTTCTACAATATATTTGTGTGTGTGTGTGTGTGTGTGTGTGTGTGTGTGTGTGTGTGTTTTGCCAGAGCTGGAGATTGAAAGCAGGGCCTTGTGATGCGGGGCCAGCACTCTACCTTTGAGCAATGCTCCCAACCCCTAAAGTTCAAATTGTATAGACCACAGGGCTTCATCAACAGTCCCACTTCCGTTACGCTAATCGGTGCCAACTGATTATATGGCCGCTGTGAAATTTCCACAGCCCAGCCCTGACTACAACATCCTGTTGGAAATAGTCCAGAGAGACTGAAACCCCTGAATGCTTTATTAAGCAAAAGTAATGCTTTCGATCCATATTTTATCTCCCTGGACTTAGGAAAATTGCTTCAGGGTTCTGTTCTGTTTTGTTCAGCTTCACTGGGAATGGTGTTTCACACAGAAATACACAAACCAGGCAAGGTGTTTCCAAAAGGCGAGACATGGTCTTTGGTTCACACAGGGAGATTTTCTCAGCTTCTACTGCACGGAAGGTGCCACTCACCTTCCTGAGAAGGACATTTTTGACACTCTAAGTCAGAGATAGGAACCAAGGGGGTGAAGTCCTCACTGTGCACCCGTGCACCTTTTCTTTACACACAGGGCACTTCCTAGGTGATCTGTTTTAAGTCAGCCACAGCTCTGACAGTGTTTGGTAACAGGGCATTTTCCCCGGTTATGGCTTTCATCAGGTCAAGGCGAGAACTGAGGATAGCTCCAACTTTAACCCCCTTTGAGGGGTCTAATGGCACTGACACAGGGGTCACATATCAGATAGCCTGCCTATCAGATACTTACAGGACCACAACATGAGGCACTGTATTAAAGGGTCGCAGCATTAGGAAGGTGTTTCCAATTAAAGAGCTGGGAGGGTGGGGAACTGGAAACTCATTTGCAACTCATGCTCATTATTTTCTCAGCAGAAATAAATCCTCCCTAAGAATGAACAGATAACCTGGGTTTTGGTGGTTTTTGCATAACATGTTCACTCTATCTGTTTCAAACCCTGTTTTTCTTCCCACTGATCTGTTTTAAAATGCGGCTCAGATAGCTTTGACAAGAAAGACTAAAATAGATAATGTGGGGTGAAACAGAAACTTCACCCAGGGCTCTCTTTAGCTGAAGACAAACATTAACACTCTTCCCCCACTTCCGTTTTTCAATTTGATGCTTGAAACTCCACATTATCTCTAAATTCCTGCTCAAAGGTGAGCTCTGCCTCATTTCCCCCAGGGCTCTTGCAGAGCTTTTTCAGACTGTAAGTTCTAAGTCTTAATCTTTTGACTTTGTGGGGTTCCCTTCCCCCTACACTTCAGTGCACAAAAGTTCTCTCTCAGAAAACACCACACATTTGAAACAGCTGTGCCACCCATAGCTAGGACAGCCTGCTGAAGTTCTGTCCTCTGCCACAGGTATGACTGGGAAACGAACCCCCTAAAGCTGTGCAAGCAGCCAGCTTGGATATGATGGGTCTGAGTCACAGGATAAGTACTACCCTTAGCAAAACAATGAAAGACCAAAATAATAAAACTTAAAACCCATTCTGTTATAGTTGGATTTATTTTATTTCATTTTTTATGTATAGTGTTCTGCCAGCATGTACACCTGCATGCCAGAAGAGGGCACCAGATAGCATTATAGATGGTTGTGAGCCACCATGTGGTTGCTGGGAATTGAACTCAGGACTTTTGGAAAGCAGCCAGTGCTCTTAACCTCTGAGCCATCTCTCCAGTCCCGTCCCCAGGATTTATTTTAAAGTATAAAAATCCCACTTTATTAAAATTTAGTTAGTACTATTAATAGAGAAAGCATCAGTTCTAAACTCTAAACTAGCCTGTTGAACATTTTCCTCTTGTCTGTGTATATATTTTAGAAAGCTTCTACTGTATTAGGTTTTCATACTACCCCTCAAATGGTCCTTGATTTTACCTCTCTTCCTCCATATTCCAGCCCTCATCCTTCTCTTACCTACCCCTCCACACTCAATCCTTCGTTCCAGTACCCCACTCCATCCATCCATAGCTATCTATTCTATTTTCCTTTCCTAAGGAGATCTATCTGTCCACCATAGTCCCTTACTTCATATCCAACCTCTGTTGTTCTATGGATTGTAGCTTGATTATCATTGTCTTAACAGTTAATATTTATATTTAAATGAATGCATACCATATTTGTCTTTCTGAGTCTGGGTTATTTCACTCAGGTGGGTTTTTTTCTAGTTCTGTCCATTTACCTGTGAATTTCATGAATCTAATATTTTTAATGACTGAGCAATATTCCAACATGTGAATGTACTACATTTTCTTTATCTATTCATCTGTTGAAATACATTTAGGTTTTTGTTTCCAGTTTCTGGCTATTATGAATAGAGCAGCGATGAACATAATTGAACAAGTGTCTCCGTGGTAGGATAAAGCATACATTGGGTGTATACTCAAGAGAGTGGTATAGCTGGATCTTGAGGTAGATCTATTCCCAGCTTCCTGAGGAACCACCACACTGATTTCCATAATGGCTGCACAAATTTGCACTCCCACCAGCAATGAATGAGAGTGTTCTTACTTTATATCTTTGCCAACATGAGCTGTCATTTTTTTTTTAATTAATTTCAGCCATTCTGAACAGCGTAAGACAAAATCTCTAAGTCATTTTGATTTCTATTTTCCTGATGGCTAAAAATGTTGAATATTTCTTTAAGTGTTTCTCAGTTATTTGTGTTTCCTCATTTGAGAATTGTTTAGATATGTATACCATTTATTATTATTATTATTTTGGTTTTTTTGAGATAGGGTTTTTCTGTGTAGCCTTGGCTATCCTGGACTTCCTTTGTAGACCAGGCTGGCCTCGAACTAACAGAGATCTGCCTGCCTCTGCCTCCCAAGGTGCTGGGATTACAGGTGTATGCCACTGTGCCCAGCCTGTACCCCGTTTTTTTATATCTATTTTGTTGTTGTTTTCTATATATTTTTGATATTAGCCCTATATCACATGTAGTTGGGAAAAAAAATCTTTTCCCATTCTGTAGCCTTCCCCTTCTTCCAAATGATAGTGTCCTTTGCCATGTAGAAGGTTTTCAGTTTCATGAGGTTCTACTATATTAATTGTTGATCTTAGAGCCTGTGCTAATGGTGTTCTGTTCAGCAAGTAGTTTCCTATGCCAGTGAGCTGAAGGCTATCTCACACTTCTAACAATTTTGGTATATCTGATTTAATGTTGAGGTCTTTGATCCATTTAGAGTTGAGTTTTGTGCAGGGTAATAAGTATGGATCTATTTGGATTCTTCTTTGTGACCAACACTATTTGTTGAAGATGCTGCCTTTTCCTCAGCATAGTTTTCTTTTCTTTCTTTTTTTTTTTTTGGCTTCTTCATAAAAAAAAAAAATAGATGTGTGTGTGAATTTATGTACTGATGTCATCTTCCCTGTTTGACTGTGTGAGGGTCAATGTGTGATTTATGCTGTGGTAGTGTTTCTTTTATGAACTTGATTGTCCTTGTGTTTGGTTCATAGAGGTTGAAAATTACAATGTCCTCTTAGTGGTTCCCCCTCCCCCCCATTAGAATGTGGTGTCTTTCCTGATCTCTTCTGAGTAGTTTTGGTTTGGAGTCTACTTTGTTAGATATTAAAATGGGTAGATCAACTTGTTTTTTAGGTCCATTTTCCTAAAATAGCTTTATCCATCCCTTTTATTTATCCTTAATGATGTTAAGGTATGTTTCTTGAATGTAGTACAAGGATGGATCTTGTTTTTGCAACCATTAGTCAATGTCATTTTACTCAGGAATTGTGACCCTTAATGTTGAGAGTTATCAATAGCAGTGTGTATTGATTCCTGTTGTTTTGTTATAGTGTGTGTGTTTCCCTTTTTATTTGCTTGTGCAGAATTACTTATTTCTAGTATATTCTTGGGTATGGCTAACCACTTGAGGTTAAAGTTTACCTTCTAGTACCTTCTGTGGGGCTGGATTTGTACATAGATATTGCTTAAATTTGTTTTTTATTTTTTTAAATCATGGAATGTCTTCTTCTCTAGATCCATTGTAAGTGAAAGCTTTGCTGGGTACAGTCAACTTTGCTGTCATATGTGGTCTCTAATGTTTGTAGAACAGCTATCCAAAACCTCTGGCTTTTAGAGTACCCATTGAGAAGAGTCTCAGGTGATGTTCTAATATGGTTATTTGTTTTTTTTCTCTTGTAGTTTTTAATATTCTTCCTTTTTTGGTACATTTAATATTTTAGTATGTGCCATGGAGAATTTGTTTTCTGGTGTAGTTTACTTGGCGTGCTGTGTGCTTGACAGGCAACTTTTTTATGTTAGGGGAACTTTCTTCTATGATTTTGTTGAAAATATATTCTGTGCCATGACCTGAGTTTCTTGTCCTTTCTCTGTTCATATTATTTATAGGATTTGGTTTTTTCTTAGTATCCCAGATGTTTTGTGCCTGAAAAAAAATTTTTTTTTTAATTTAACATTTCACTGAGTTATCTATTTCCTTCTATCCTGTCTTCAATGCCTGAGATTTTTCTCCTGTCTTTCAGTTTGTTGGGGAAGCTTGCCTCTGAGTTTCCTGTGAGTTCTTATATTTTTTCACATCCAGTTTTCTATGTTTTATTTTTATTGATTCTATTTCTCCTTTTAGATTTTGAACTGTTTTCTTCATTTCCTTCCACCATTTGTATTTTCATAGTCTTTTTTTAAAGGAATTTATTCATTTCTTCTTTAAGGACCTCTATCATAGTCATAATAGTCATTTTAAGGTCTTTGTCTTATGCTCCAACTATGTTGCCATTATCAGAGCCTCCTGTAATAGGATTGCTATCATTGGATGCTTACTGTCCTGTTGTGTTTTTATGCATCTAGGCACCTGGGTTTGGGATAGTATAATTCTAGGTGTTGCTCTCTGGTCTTGTTTTTGTTGGGTGTTTTGATCCTTTCTTCCTGTTACTCTTTGGTTCTTAAGAGAGCGTGTTAGCTTTGTTGCCTGGTACTGAGCGCTTCTGAGATCCAACCAGGTCTGGCCACTGGGGTCCGGGTAAAACATGTTTCTAGGTATTGAGAGCTGACAGTTAGGAATGGGGATGGTCTAGGAGTTGGGGTATTCCACAGGAGGGAGGAGAGTAAGGTCTTCCACCAGGTTCTGCTTTGTGCCCTACGAATAGATGCAGAGAGGTTACAGAAGGTAGCTACAGAGCCAGGGTGAGACTGGGGCATTGGACTTGGAGGAAAGAAGGGAAGAGTGAAGATCTGAAGCTCACTTACCTGCTTTGCTGGCCTGCTTCTGTGGTAGCCCTGGGGAGAGGTGAAGATCTGCCTCCCTGGCTGAGCAGCCTGACCTTCCCAGGGGATACCTGCTGGTGTTGGCTAGGGTAAGCGATGAGTAGGGGAAGTAAGAGTAGAGGGGAAAATCTGTGCGAGCCACCAGAAAGGGGGCCAGGGAGGGGAGGCCTCAGCAGGGTGTCTGCTACAGAGCTGGGGGTGAGACTGGGAGATCAGATCTGGAGGAGGAAACTGCAGTCAGCGTACCAGCTTCTCTGGCTACCACACTGAGTTTTTTTGTTTTGTTGTTTTGCCTTTTAAATCGTGTCTTATCTTGATTTAATGGCTCACCTTTAGAAATACCGATTACTTGTGACTTACATGACCTGAAATTTTTTGGCATCTCACCTAAAGACCTTACTAGAGTAACAATAATGCCACTAATGGAACTGAATTTTAATATAAATCCAAATAGCATAAATGTTGTTGATTATTAATATTTATTATTGATTTATCTTTTGGTTAAACAGTGGTTATTCCTATACCAGCTGTATACCCAAATCACCACACAGAGACTAGGATTTATTTAATTAACCTAGAGCACAATGCTGGGCAATAGTTACTTCATCCTAAACCTCCAAGCCCACATAGCTTCCTCCTATTCAGATTTCCTACATTATACTTGCTTTTAGTCATATCTTAGGTCCCATGTTTCCAGGTCCTCTCCTCTCAGATCTCTTCTCCAACCTTCCTCCCACTCCCTTCTTTCTCCTCCCGTTCGGACCAGGATGTCCCACCCTATTCTCTCCATTGCTCAGCAATGAACAGTTGTTTTATTTGCAATACATAGAACAGATGGTGGCATGTTTACACAGACTTGAGACAAGTGATGCTTAGAATAAACATCACAGTGCAATGTCCAGATTGAAACCAGATGGTGTTGTAGAGAAATTAGCATGTGAATGAATGAGGGTACATTGTATACATTCTACAAGAACATTATACCAACACATAAATCCATTTGGGTGTTTGACCTTAAATCTTTCTTTTCACACTAGAGCCCATGCCTGTAATTGAGGCTCCTTTATGGTAGTTTCTGGATATCAGGTTGTCCTGGCTCAATGCTTCTGTCTTCCCCCTCTGCCTCCCCAGTGCTAGAATTATAATAAACTCTTACCACTGGGTAAGAGATTTTTGACTTTGCTACTAATCAGAAATGCCTGGACATTTCTAACTGACCCTGACAGCAACTTTTGATTATGTGTTTTGTGTAGTGCTGGGGGATTGAAACAAGTGTCCCACCCATGCTGGACAAGTGTTTTATCTGTGCTCTACCTTCCTAGCCAGCAGCTAGGAATAACTCTTTTAACTAATTTGTACTTTTCATCACTGGCAATGGTAAACTCTATCCATAGCTACTTCTCCTCTCCTCCAAACTCACCTTTCCATGAGTTGAGGCCACAGATGGCGGGCCACTTAGGAGAGCTACGATGACCACTTTAATTGTCAACTCAACACAATCTAGAATAATAACCTCAATAGAATGTTTCAGTGAAGGATGGTATAGGTTAATTCAACCTTTGGGTATTTTTGTAGGACAGTTTTCACAGTTCATGGAGGTGGGAAGGCTTGTCTGTCCATTTCCTGACTTTTAAGCGTAGGACAGGCGTGAGCACAAGTAAGCAGTCATATATTCACTTTCTCTTTGTTCTTGACTGAACATGACTAGTCAAGTCCCTGCTTTGACTTCCTCCAAATGGGAATTCTAAGCTGGATAAATAATCCTTCTCTTAAAGCTGCTCTATGAGTAACTGAGGAAACAGGATACAGATAGCTACTTAAGTCACAACAGCAGATCAATGAAGGAAGAAGCCAATTTACTAAAATATTTCTTTTATTTGAATAAGGTCATTGACATTTCTTGAATTCCAGCTAGCATCAAGTAACAATCAGAAAAGGAAAACAAAACAAACAAAAAAAACCTTGACAAAATGTTATATAATTGAAATTGACAGTGGATAGAAAACCCTTTTAAACTTTAACATCATAAAAGAAATATATTAAAATGGGCAACACACAGATTTAAAAAGTTATAAGAGCTGACCTCACCCTAAATCTTACAAATTCAAAATTCCCAATGACTAATTTGTTCATTGCCTTCCTCCAACCAGCATGTGGGCACTGAGAGGGTCAGACCCCAGTAACCACAGTGATAATGTTCTTTACAGAGACGGATTCTCTGCAAGCAGCAGGTAAGCAACCCCTTATTCAAGTCTTTTCCACTTTCCTCAAGTTACCAACATGTGCTGTCTGGGATGAGAAGGTGACTGTGAGGAAGGCAACAGCTTTGCAGGCGGGCTCCACACCGGGCACTGTTATGCTCTGCCATGAGCCAGAGATGATTCTGCAGGTTTCAACACCACCACTAAGTGCCAAGAGGTCAGCCAACGACCTGGACTTAGTTTGTAGTTGCTAATGAATGGAGAGTTTTAGCAAAACGAACACTAAGATTAAGAGAAGGACCAGCACAGATGCTGACCTCAATAACAGTGAAAATGGGCACAGCTCAGCTCTGAGCCCACAAAACAAACACCCGTCAAACACTTTCCCCAACTCCTCGTTCTAGTGGTTCTCAGTGTGCTATGTCTGTGGTGTCTGTGGAATGGACACTCTGAAGCCCCACCCGAGTTGTGATGTAGATGGACTGGAATGGGGCCTTGGGATCTGTATTCTTAATAAGTATTCCATGAACTGAATGGTTGGTCCATGGGCCATACTTTGAAAAACACTGGTGTGCCTTCAATAGTGATAAAACACTGGTTATTGTTTGTGACTTCATGGCGAAGTTTTAAACTAAATGAAGCATTCAAATAATTAGAATGCACACAGCCTATTACACAAGCCTTTACAGCAAGTACATAATTGAGATTTCTTTTAAAAGTGGCATCATAAATAATGACTTACATTAAAGTTTTAAAATAAATTTTGTTTTAATCCAAGGCACCTGTAAAATATTTGCTGGTATGAGAAGTGAGTTACTCCAATTACACAAGACACTACAGAGATTGAGGAGTTCCGGCAGTGATAGTTTTCCACAGAGCAAGGTTTTCCCCAGAAGTGAGCTATTTAGATTTAATGATTTTGAGGAAAAACAAATACAGACCGATATGTGATTTTTAAGCAATTAACAAGTAGAAAGATCCCTGCCCCTGCTACAGTCACATTAGGAATGATCAGTGCACTTCCCTCGGACTTGAGCCTACAAATGTACACTGCCCAGATCTGGGATTCCTTTAATGTCCAGGCACACATGACTCTGGGCTCTGTAATACTGGCTTTGGCAGCCTTTTATCTCAAGATTTCCCAAGATGCGCAGTCTACAATTTGACATTCTTCTGAAGTAAGTTCTTGAAGATGACACTATTGGAACATGAGTTTCAAAACGCTAACTTTACAGAAGGTAAAGGAAGAAACACTTTATGCTGCCATGAGCTTTGTGGAGTCACTGTGACATTTCTAGGATAAAGGCCAGCATAAAATGCACGGCAAGACCGCACGTACGGTCTGAGTTAGGTAGTCACCGTAGAGTGCTCTTCATAAAATCTTTTTAGAGATTTTAGGTTAGCCCAATCTGCAAATGACATCTGAGAGGAAACTTACGAAGGCTTACAACAATCTAGTAGCGTATCTTATTAAACAGTGTTGTTCTGGATCCCATAGCAAACGAGACCATTACTTTTAATAAGAGGTAAACTGTCTTGAAGCCAGCGAAAGTCTAGCCCAGCTGTGAAAAGAAAAGTGAAATCTGCACTTTAAAATGTCACAGGTGGTTTCTCAAACACCTACAAATAACTGTGTACTGACAGAATCTCTTTCCAGCCTAGTGTTTCCTGGTTAATTCACAAATGGACACTTCACAACATCCTTATTTCTAGCATTTAAAGGAGAAACAGTTAAGTATTTACTTTACCAATTTGCTTCCAAATAGCTCAAAGCTGCTTCTGCCACAGCCCCCTCCATTTAAGAGTTTGCAAGTCTTAAACCTTGGGTTACATAGAGTAATGTAAACCAGAAGGTATTGGTAAATCTTCTGAATTTAAAATCGGGGCAGAACATGCAGTTGGAACTAAACTACATGTCTGACAACATAGAAGAAATAAATTTCACAAATTAAGAGCATACAAATTATTACTCTAATATCAAACTGACATTATTGCAACAAAGATATTCAAAACAGTGGCCATCATGAATGAACACACTAGCAGGCAAAATACCCACTAAAAATCATAGGAATGTTCTCAGCTAAATGGCATAGGGAAAAAGTAGTTATTAGTTTTCCACCAAAATCTTCTTTAAAAGTGGATCCACATTGAAAACAGAGGGGAAACATTTCAGCAAGTGCTCAAATGCCTGGCATCTAGTTTAAAGCTCTCAGACCAATCACTGATCCTAGAGGGAGCTGTGCTGGGGCTAAAGGACTGTAGAACCCACTCCTTTATTAGAAAATGCTCATGCCTAAAAATGACTGGTTACTGAACACACAAGAATAGGGTGCTCTTGTTTAGACCTCATATTCTGTGGAAAAAGGGCAAGTATGTTTAGATAAATGAAGAAACCTCCAATGCCAGAAATGTAGAGGGTAGCACCCTCTGCAGTGGCTGCCCCTACTGTCTTTAGGCCTTGACTTGCCCTTATCTGCTCAGTGGCTGCCCCCTGCCTACCAGACACTCTCTGAAGTTTAAAGACATGTAGTACTATGAACAAAATGTGGTTGTCTTTAACATTTATTTTTATGAAAAATGAATGTTTTCAAGAGTTACTTTATACAAAATTTAATAACTTAGACTATGAAGCAATTTAAATACTAAATCCCCTCAAAAAGACAACATTTGCACATACATACATGATGTACATATAGGAAAATGAAGGTCAAAAGAATTTTTTGGCAGCTGCTTCTTGCTGAGTCCTATAAAAGAAAAGAAAAACTAACAGATGCTCTATACACTTAACTTGGGAAAGAAATGGGATTGTTTAAATTAAACTATCACTGCCCCCCGAAGTAGAACATGATACTGAGATGAACACACTCTAAACATGCACACCACATAATAGCAAACCCAGTTTGCTTTGTAGTGAATTGTCTATGCTAAGAAAAGCTGCACTAAAGACCTATTTAACATCACAAAGTATTTCCTCCAAAAACATGTTGGGTCAGTGTTATCAAGAGACTCACCTGTACATGATATAGCCAATGAACAGCACTGTCTGCACCACTACAAATATCACAAAGTGGACTGTGGATAAACATGATGGAAATGGTGGTAGTTCTGGGCATTTTGGCTTTTCATTAGATGACTGTAAAGCAAAGAACCTGTATTATAATTTGTCAAATTAATGGTCTGGAAAGACATAAATGTGGAATTTTATAGAACTCACAGTCCGTTATAGAAACAAGCTTCACACCCCCCCCCATTCCACTAAGTATTTTCTACCTATTTCACTTCTACTATCTTTTAAAAAATCTTTTTCTTTCAAAGAGGATCTGACATAAGAAGGTTCCCCCTTGTCACTGCCAAGTCATCACCCTGGTGCCACCTGCCTCCCAACTTCACTACAAATGATGACATCAATGCCCTTCAAGGTTCTAGAGACTGGGGTTCCCAGACTCCCACTGCCCTGGATGCTTCCCGGGGCACAATTTCTATATTGGCAAAAATAATTAACAGCACAGACTTTATGCTTAATAATCGTCCAGTTCATACAATAATTCCATGGTACTTACCAACAAACTACTTAAACAGAATTTTGTTTCCTGGCACATCCTTTGCAATCTCACAACATTAAACCTGACTAACTTTGGAAAACTGTCGATTTTCTGATCTCCACAAGATAGGATATTTTTAGGAACTAATTAATTATCAGGGACAAAGATTTCATCCAGATGTAATGGCTTCTAAAATTAGTTGTTCTCAATACAGCTGCTTCTATGAAGCATAGTTTTTGGGACAAATCCACCCACAGTAACAAGCTGGCCGTTGCAACAAAGAGGGAAAGTATCTTCAAACAAAACTAAAACATTATTTGGATGAAAAAGCAGGGCCAATAGGAAAACTAATAAGGAAGATTTGCCAAAATGATTCAAGGCATGTACATACAAACAGTTACGAAAGGCAGTGTCAAAATATAATGGCAACAAGTGTAGAAGTTGAAGACTAAAGTGTTTTCCCTTACTAAAACCTTGAGAAAGTCATGTTAATGTCATTTATTGCTGATAGAAATATAACATTTAAGGGCTTGGGTCTTCTGCTTCTTCTAATCTTGACTAGGACCAACTATTGAAGTGAACAAGGCCTCTAGCTGAGTGAGAAAAGCACTCAATACAATCTTATTTAACTCTATTTAATTTCATAAAACCTAACTAATGTGAAATAGTGACAAAACAGCAAGAAAATTTCAGACCAGAACATTGGGAGACAATATGCCAAAGAAACATACTTTTTAAAAACACAAATTCACAAGAGTACACAAAATTAAGCAGCTAAAATCCCAGCACTAAAGGGGGAAGGGTTAACTAAATCCTACCCCAGCTGACTTGGGGAGGGAAGAGTCAGTTTTCTTTAGGGATGGGGACCCTGAAGGGCTGCCAATGCTCCCTTGGGTGGCCCTCATGCACATAAAGCAGCATTAAGTAGAGTAAAGAGTACATGGAATGAGGAGGGTGAAAGGTAGGAGCAGTGGGGAATGGGTCTTATGTTCAGATCTTCGCCTACAGCCTTTCCTCCTGCATGCAATCCCTTTGTCTCACTGGCCAACAGCTTAGTTTCTCTCTCCCTGGAAAGTCACTGACCATGCCTGCCAGGGAATGAGGAAGGCGATCTTCACTCTCTGTCCTGCCCTCCAGCACCACAGCAGGTCACTTGCTAGTCTTTCTTCTCTTCCCCCAAAGATCCTCTTAGCAAACTCAGCGTTCTTTCTTCCTGTCCTTCCTCTCAGCTCCACCTCTGCTAGATTATCCTCTTTCCTGCACGTCAACTCCCAACACGTAGAAACAAGTCTACCCAGGACACCCAATGGCCCACATCTGCCAGGGACCCAGACACACTGCTTACCAGACAATGCACAGCTACCACAACTTCTAAGAACCAGAGAGGGCAACAGAAACCAAGGACCAGAAAACTCACCCAACAAAGACAACACCTAGAATCACAATCATCCCAAGCCCAGATGCCTAGACACCAGCATAAAAACACAGCAACATCCAGGATAATGTGTCTCCACTAGAGCCGGGCAACCTACTGTCGTGACCCTAAGAAATGCAAGATAGCTGAAGCACAAGTCAAGGACTTCAAAATGGCTATTAAGAATTTGTTTGAGGTCCTTAAAGAAGATCTGAATAAATCCACTAGTGAAATCTGTGAAAACACAAACAGGGGAATGAAATGATATGATTAACAAAAACAACATGATCATCTCATCAGACGCATAAAAGGCCATTAACAAACTATAACACTCCTTTCATGATGAAAGTCTCCAAGTTCTAGAGACACAAGAGACATATTTCAACATAGTAAAAAAGTTTCTAGCAAGCCCACAGCCAGTATCAACTTAAATGGAAAGAAACTCAAAGCATTTCCACTAAAATCAGGAACAAGATAAGGTTGTCACTCATCTATTAAAAACAAAAACAAACAAACAAACAAAACCCATGAAATTCACAGGTAAATGGGTGGAGCTAGAAAACAATCATCCCGAGTGAGAGAATCGAGACCCCAAGAGACAGACAAGGTGTGCACTCGCATATCTGTGATGCTCACTGTTAAGTCCTTCCTCAGAGGCTACAATTCAGATAGTCAGAGGTTACAGAGAAAGGAAGTTAGCGGGAGGATTGGGTCAAATTAGGAAGAGGAAACAGTAGACAGTTCTGGCTGGGTGTGGGGAGGGGGACTGGACCAGCAGGAAAAAATGGGGAGGGGAAGGAAAGGAGTTTGAGGGGAAAGAAAAATGAGGAGAGACAGCTAAAACTGAGGGTCATTTGAGGAGCTGTATGGGAGCCTGAATCAGTGGGCGCTTCCTAAAATACAAGCAAATACAAAGGCCATCTAAAGTGGGTCACCAAATAACTGGGGAGATGGAGCCTCAACTGGACAATGCTTGTCACCAAATGAAGCATCTTGGAGGAGTTAGGGGAGGGGAGGCCATAATCAGAATATGTTGTACTGAAAAAAAAAATCTATTTTCTATTAATAAAAAAACCCACCTTATATTCACATGTAAATTGTCAAACAAGTTTTAAAATGGGAATACAAATATTTTCATTTTCTGGTAATGTAAAGCCCTCACTGCTTGCCTCTGCTTGGCGAGTAACGACAAGCGCAGATGGACTGACGAGACAGCGAGGAGTGAGCATGCACACTGCTGAGGACTACGCTACAGGGAGCCACGTTACCATGCTGCGCTGCGCGAGGCTATCGATGTCTCTCTTCACAACGTGCAGGTGCTCCTTGATGTCCATGAAGTGCTGAGTGGTCTCGTAGACGCCTGCTGAGCCCGGGTGCTGTATGCCGCTGACCAGCCGGACTGTTTCGCTCATGGAGTTCCTGGACAGAAGAATCCCTTTGAAATCACAAGGCTTTTGGTTTTTTGTTTGTTTTGTTTCCAGTTACAAGTTTCAAATGGCTGCACCTTTTTAAGTTCAACACATCAAATCATTTAAAAAACAAAAAACCTAGCAAAACACACAAAATAACAGAAGACAGACAGTGGCATATACCCACAACCTCCATTCTTGGAGGCTGAGACCAGAGGACTGGGGATTCAAGCCCAGCTGCACTAGAGTGAGACCCTGCCCGAAAAGAGGGGACACAAGGGAAGGGGAAGGGAAAGGAGAGGAGATGAAAAGGGGCAAAAGAACCCTATGGAAGAGAATGAGGTTGGAGCTGACATAGTGCCAGCTCATAGCAGATGGCCTGAGTCGCTGGTTGATTTGTCTACACAAACACTGCAGTGTGGCAGTGCCTGTTTTATTCACCTGGAACCTTAAAGGACTGACCTATGTGAATGATCTCTAGTAAAAATTCAAGACAACAAAGCTTGGGTAAGCTTCCCACACTACTTGGAGAGTGACCCTTGACTTGTGGGCTCTCATGTCCAGATAAACCTATTAGAAACTAAATGAAAAGCACATTTAACACCTTGCCCATAGAACACCTTGGCTCCACAACACAGCATGGTAGAGCTTTGCTCGTCGACCCTCATAACTGAATGACTGCCTTCTGTTGCCATACCACACCCATAACCATACCATAGCCCAGGGGGAAAAAAAATCTGTAGTACAGTTTTTGATGCATATTTATCACTTCCAAATCATGGTGAAGTAAAGACTTGACATCAAGCTGTGTGTGCTGGGGGCTGTGTGCACTGGGTGCTGCTGGGTGGGACAGAGGGAGCCCCTAGGTGTCCCTGCCACCTTTCTTTGATGACTGTTTCTTTTTATTGTAACAAACCACAGCCAGGAATACGGCAGCTTTCTGAGTCCTCTGACAAATCAGAGGCTCTGGGTCTTAGGGGCTCCTGGCACTAATGAACTGAGCCTCTATTTCCCTGTGCTCTTATCAGATGGCCCTCAGGTGCACGCCCAGAATAGCAACAGGAAGCTAATGAAGCAGCACTGTCTGCTGACGTCTGAAGGAATGGGTGGCGGTTCCCTGACTCTATGTAGTCTTACATAGTGACTTTAGGACAGATGCTCTGTGCAAGACAGAACTCCAGTGTTCCAACTTAAGGAGGCACAGCCTAAACCCTGTGGGTGTGAGTGACAGCATGACAGTAAGAAACAAGAAGCACTCTAACCATAGGGGAAATATAACAGATTTGTTCATATAAAGGGCCACACCTGCCTGCTGATATTGAAGGTACTTTATAAATAGTGAGTCATGTGATCACCACTGACAATATGAAATGTCTTCAAGTTGGTAATTTCCCAAGGGAGATAAAACACTAAGAGTCTCTACCATCTTTCTGATTTTATCTCCTCCTATTCTTTCATCTGTCTTAGCCCTTTCCATTCTTTGAAAATATGCTTCAACTATAGGTCTGTCTGTGTCTTTCTAGACATGACCCTTGCCTCATATCTGTGGACCAAATGACACCTTTTCTCAACATGACTTTCCCGATCCTTTCCTGCCAGAACGCCCCAACACCAGGCCTTCCCATTTGTGTGGGCATGTGGACTAGTGTGGCTCCACGAAAGGACATCACACCTTGACTTTTTATCAGTGCCTTCAACAACAGTGGCTCAATTTAGATGAATCAATAAAGTTTTCTCTTACTGCCTCTGTGTAAATTTTAGTGTAAAAAGTAGAAACTACAATGGAAGAAAAGAAGAGGAAACTGTAACAGTTACATCACATTGGGTGTTAAATACAGAAGTTCTACCTGACTTGAACAAGTGGTGAAAACTTAACACTTAAACTTGATACCCGGGGCTTTCTCAGTCTGAAACCAAATACAATTCATCTTAATGGCATGAGTACCTAAGTTTTCCCCTTAAAACTTCAGTTGAGGATTACAGTTTAATGTATCTAAAACACATATAAGACTATCCAGGATAGTGTAACTTTAAATGCACATTTAACATTACTGCCTGTCAGAATCACAGAAATGACCATGGAATAGGTTTCTAATATACAAAGACGGTGTCTCTTCATAGATTCCCATCCACTCGTTCACTAGCCTGTGATTCTGCCAACAGTATAGGGCACATGTTATGAGCAGGGCAGTTTCTAGGAAGAACTGGGAAAGCAGCACCATTGCTGCCCCGCTGAGACCAATGGTCCAATCTGCTGGGAGGGCAATGCCCCACAGGCACAGCCAGAGTTCACACAGGAAGATGCACTGAGCTCAGCAGCCTGAGTGCCCAGTGTTTGGGAAGGGTCTAAGATGGCAGAATAGCCTTTGGTTTAAGGAGCAGTGACATGAGAGGAGGCCCGACAGAACCCTGGGCATTAACACCCTTTAAAGGACAATGGAAGGAAAAACAGCAAAGAGAATGGTGGAAATAGAGGAACCAAAGAACAAGTGTAAAATATGTCAGCAAAGAGTTCTGAGCTGACCCTGTAGGGAGAGGTATGAATGCTACAGCAAAGGGCTGAACTGCATGCTGCTAAAAACCTTCTATGATTTCCGGACAACATGAAGAAACCCGTAAAGGCAACCATCATCCCCAGGAAAGGCAGGTATTTCCTCTTCACGTTTTTCTAAAGCTTAAATTTGGGCTCAATTTTTGTGTTTGGTGCTGCTGCACGGGGAGAGTGGAAGAGTTGATACACATCTGAAGGAAGTGCTTTTGTGGACAACGCAGCCCAAAGCCTGGATTTCCCAACCACCACCCAAACTTAAGTTGTGCTAGAACTACCGGGAAGTGAGACAGGTTAAGTAAGACGCCTACAATATGGTCCTTCTAGAAGACAACATAAGCAAACGAAGAAGAAACAAGAACACAAACAAACCCAATAGAAATGGATCTGCTGCCTATGAGGGCAGATAGAAAGGGTCAGACATCAATGGAAAGGCTGGGAATACAGCTCAATGGAAGAGTACTTGCCCTAACAAATCCCTGCCTCTCACGCCCTAATACTAATCAGATGGGAAGATGAGAGAAGAATGAGGAGGCAGGTCTGAAAGAAGGGTAACACATGTGTGTGTGCGCATGTGTGTACCACAGCTCCCCAGAGGTGGAGGGCCCACCTAGGTCATTTGTTTAGTTGGTCATATAGTATGAATGTTAATTTGCTGGTTCTCACAATTATATTGTGGTTACGTAAAATATCAACAGAAAGAGATGGATGAAAGATGCACAGAAACAATATACCATTTTTATACCTTCTGAAGTTTAAAATCGTATGAAAATAAGAGGCTTGAAGAGGGCTGAGTGGTTCAGAGCACTAAGCACCAGCTGCTTTTCAAGACGGCTTCATTCCTAGCACCCACATGCCAGCTCACAACCACCTCTAACCGCAGCTCCACGGAATCTGACACTCTGTTCCGGCCTCCAAGAGCACTGTATGCACATGATCTAGATATACGTATATGTAAAACCACCCATATACATAAACAAGTAAATCTTTTAAAGCATTCTATCAAAATAAAAAATACTGATGTACAACACAGTCGACCTATAAAATAAATCTATTCATTTGATTTAAATAGGACAAGTATTCACTTGGGAATCGTGAATTAACAACAAAAAATGTTTCTTAAATGTCAAGGAGCAAAATACAAATCTCCAGTTGTCAGCCAAGTCCTTTCAGCTTTTTATTCGGTTTAACTGGGTTCTGTGTAGGTGTTTGGTCCTTAAAACCTCACCTTGATGTTCTCCTCTATCAAGGGTCGTACGGGTGGGAATGCTAAAGCATTAGCTTATAAAAACACACACAGATTGTTTTCCCTGTCACAGACATTGAGAATGTCGGCTATAAGTTAGCCACCCTCATTAGAAATTTATCATCCAAAGACCAGTATCTCCTTTCTATCCTGACTTTCTTGCCAGTCTCTCCTAGGGCAGAAGATGGCATTAAAAAGAAGGTCCTGAGTAAGCGTGTCTGTTTTCCAGTGCTGCCACAGCAAATGTCCTTCTGCCTCCAGTATTTCTCATGGAGTTGTGACCTGTCACTTTTCACTCTTTCTATAATTTCCAAAGATACACACCTGGTTTCAAGTTGCTACAGAAAACCCCTTCGCTAAAGCATTTTTTTTTCTTTTTTCAGCTTATAATGATTTTCAAAATTCAGATGCTTGCAGTTTGCACATATATTCCTTTATTCCTAACATGACCTAGGAGGTGCAGGTTGCCGTCCTGAAGAGCACTTACAGGGAAGAGCAGGCACACAAGCTTCATCAGGACAAGAATACAGACCACTGGAACATGACTATTGCATACTTACTTCATCTCATTCACGTGTCTCAAAATCTCATGCTGGGTCTTCACTACACCATCCAGTTCCTGTTGAGAGACCTGGAGGGAAACAGGATGAGTGGCGGCTTAGCATCACTCTGGTCACGCAGAGCACAGTGCTGTTCTGACTTTCTGCTGGCTGCAGCGCTGTGTCTGAGCACGTACCTGCCCAGGCTGCACCGAGGTTCCTGTTCCTCTCCTGGAGATCTCCTCGGTCAGGGAAGAGACATATCTCCTCTGTTCATCAAGGATCATATCGAGCTGCCGGTTAAGCTGCTTGATCTCCAGGTGAATACGATTCTGTCCTTCAAAGACTTGTCTCAGCTCTCGATCACCTACACTCTCAAAGATGTCATCCGCTGAAAAGCAACCACAAGTTACCATTCTCTACACATCTGTGGCTTTGAAATACTGCAACGGCCCAAGTGTTGACAAATAACAAAACCAGAGCATTACCAACACAGGGAACAAACCTGCAAACCGTACACCTGCAGACAGTTCAGTCATGACTAAAGTACGGTTTTGGTAAATCAGATCTGAACTTTTTCACTTAAAGTAATTTTCTGTTTTATATATCCTGTGTAACTTGACGAAAGAGAACTAATCTGGAGTAACAGAGATTAAAACAGTACTGGGCTATGTGGAGACTGGGTTTACAGTGTCAGAGAACTTTCTGAGGTGAAAAAATATTCCATGCACTGGTGTGGTGATGTTTAGGCGGGCACCCGCAATTACCAACAACCGACTGTGCTCTCTATACACTCACTACAAGCAGCTTCAAGGTATGGTCACAAATTACATGAAGTCATCGAACTACTCATCACTGTGAGAACTGTTACTACAGTGTTCAAATGCTTGACATAAGCTTCATCAAGTGCAGTCTCTATCACCCAAGCCAACAGGGAACAAACCTGTAGAAAACTAGAGGATGCTAAGCAATCAGTCTGTTTGGCCTCCCTGTGCTACATTTTTGACAATGTAACAACACATAAAGTCTCAATTTCTCTGGCTTAAGCTGGCACTTAACATTTCCCCACCACTGAGGCCCAGGGTTCTCAGTAGAAAGTTTGAAAGGTAGGTATCACTTCACTTGAAGCTCATAATAGCTTTGATAGTCCTAAACAAGATATATATGTCACTGGCCCGAAGGTCTAAAGAATATAATAGAGGAGACAGAAGGAACTGTGGGAGCGGGAATATGGGAAGGACTGTCAGAAATACCGCCATTCAAACAACACAGCTACTGCAATCGTGAATACATAACAGCTCTACAAGACTGGGCCTTTCAGCATTGCATCTTGGATAAAGGAAGGTTCCATGAGGCCCTACCCATTCCAGAGAAGCCTGACTTGGTGCTGAGGAATAGGGTGTCACTTTTTTCAGTGTATGGCCTCTACTTGGAAAGAAGGGGTTCACAGGGAAACAAAGAGAACACCGGGCAGTGGGGTACTGTAATTCCAATTCCCAGTATAATCCCACCATATCCATAAAACCATCGAAACTTTTTAATAAAGGGGACTGTGAATCCCGAAAGGAGAGCGACCTTGGATGTTTCATTTAGCCCTTCCCATGAGAACAGCACTGTCTTTTGTTCTTCATTTGTTTAGTTTGGAGAACACAGAGGTGGATGCACCAATGCCATCCTTACCGAGCTCCAACATAGCGGCTCGCATTCACCCCCAACACTATGGTGTTCCTCATTCACACCTCACAAGCCATACTCCCAGACCCGGAAGGAGCCAAGATTTGCTTTTCCACCATTTCCATCAGTTACTGAGCGTGCTGGTCAGAGAGCAGAGATGAGGCAGGCAGTGCAAACCCCAGTGTCCTCCACAGAGCCACAACCCTGGCTACTAACTTACTGGGCTGTCCCTGGAGGTCAGGGTGGCCCTTCTGGAATTCCTCCTTCTTCTTGTCCAGTTCTTGCTGGAAGTGTTCAAACTCCTCTTGATACTTTTCCTTTTCTTTTTCTGAAATGTCTTTTTCTGGCGTAGGCTTGTTCAGAGGAAGAATAGGTCATAAGACAGGGAACAGGAGAGACATCTTGGTGTCCATACTTCTCATGCTCACTAGTCCATTGCTAATTCTAAGATTGTCTCTTACTTAAATTACAGCTAATTTGCTCTTGGTTTTAATGATAGCATCGAAACCCATAGTAACTGCTACCATTTAATGAGCATTTACTATAAGCACACATCTCACTTAACAGTTACAGCATCAAGAGACGAGCACTAAACAAACCTGTTTTGCCAAGGAGGCAACAAGACCAAATGGCAGTGACTGAAACAAGACCCAGACTTAAGTTAGTAGTCTCAAAATCTACAGCTGGAGTAACACCACTGAAAACAGAAAACTGACTGTTTGGGGAAAAGGTTTATACTCACTGGCTCTCTTCCAGGCTCAGTTAGTTGGAAGGTCAGGAAGGAGAGAACGTCGTGGTCATCTACAAGTTTAAAAACAGTTTCCGGGATGCTGTAAGCAGTTGAGAGTTCACTTGGCAGGTATTTATTACGTATGAAAGACTGATGTCAGAGCTACTTGAAACCCTTCACCCTTCATAGCACCTGCATCAGTGTTCTAGGTGAGCTAACAGACAGCATCTAAAGGAACGTGCTCCACCCTCCCAGGCTCATTCATGGACAGTATCCTGTTCTGATCATGAATACCCCTATTCACCTATCTCTAATACCTTTCCTTTGGTACATATCAGCTCTGGCCTTTCATACTTGCTTTTCTCAACTGGATGACAATCATACTTCTATTTTATCTAAACCATGTAAAGTCAAATTAATATCAAGTGGTTTCAGCTAGCGGCAGGAACTAAGGAGACTGGATCTCACGGCCGTGAGCTGCTATGCAGATCCTGGCTGGCCCCATCAATGGTGAGGAGGGATTATTTCGAGTGTGCAGCCTTTGCCTATGTCTGCCTCTCCTGCGGACATCTGCAGAGGCAGCTGGTACAGAAAACACAATGCCCTGCAGATGGGGTAACCTGAGGAAGAACTATGTGCTGGACAGCCAGGAACCACAGCCAGAACCAGTCCAGACCAGGACTTTCTGGGGGTGACTGTGTGAACCTGAGAAATGGTCTGCACCTGGACTTAGCAACACCTCAAAAAAAATGGGGATACAGATCTCCTGCTTCTTTGCTTGGGTCATTTAGAACAATGTGTAGTTTTGCAAGTATTTAAAATGGTAATGTGCCATATGAATACAAAGCAGCTTTGGTGTGGAGTAACACGTGGAAAATCATAATAATGATTTTCATTTAAACTTTGCCCCCAAATAATATTTCTTCAGGCTTCCAAATTCATTTGTATATGACAGAGCATCTTTCAAGGGTCATACAACACTTGGCAATTAACTTTTTACATCCTTTAAATGTCTCCTCCACTACAAAATGCACCAAATGAATGGTGCAATTCACATGCATCCATGCAGCTCCAATATAGCCAGACTGGTAGAACAAACCATGCGAAGACTCCAAAGAGATGTAAGAGTGGGATGGAATCGGGTCTGCATATCCTAAATGTACTATCAGCAGTACGCTTCATTCATAGGCTGTCAATACGAAAATATGGCAAGATTTACCTGCAAGACCTCCTGTTGCAGCAGATATCCCAAAATGCCCCTGTTTGGGGATAATCATATTTTCCACTTTGGCACAAAATTCATAATCATTTTTATCTGGTGTAAAGCCATTATTGATCATGACCTAGAAAGACATACTAAAGTTGTAGATTCTTATAACAGACATTTAAAAATAAATTTTAGCATTTTGTGATTAATAATATTCACTCTTGCTTCCTTCTACTGTTGTAATTCTTTTTGTTTATGGATATTGTGTGTGTTCGTGTATGCATGTTTGCATGTGTGTGAGTATTTGGAGATCTCAAGCTGAGCTGACACTGGGTATTTTTCTCAATCACTTTCCAGTTTATTTATTGAGGCAGGGTCTCTCAACTGATCCCAGAGCTCAGTGATTCCTTACACTAGCTGTCCATCTTGCCCTGCCCTTGAGTGTTGGGATTCCACGTGGCCACATTTTCTCAGCTTTTGGGGGTGGTTCTGGGACCTGGACTCTGGCCTTCATGCCTACATGGCAAGTTCTTTATCCACCAAGCCATCTCCCCAGCCCTATAAAGGGTAATTTAAAATAAACTCACGTACTAGCCATCATTAAACAGTAAGGCAGTTCACTTAATTTTTTTTTTTTTAATCCATTATGTGTTAAGGGCACAAAAAGAAAAAATGCTGACAGGTTAAGAATCTTTTTACAGTGAAGCAAGCTCCTTTCTTGCAAATCCTTAAGAGCCATGACCATTCTGAATATATCACACAGCAGGAATATAACTGCTCTGGACTATCCTAGGTTAGCAAATGTGACAGATAAGTGTTGCTAATCTCTCCTCTACCCTCCGTTGGCATCTATCACCTCAGCAGTAAGTGGAGCCCCGCAGAAACGATGAAGATGGGTTTAAACTGCAGTTCTGTCCAAGTTACTTAAAATCTCCCACATTCAATTTCTCTGTGTTGCAAATTGAAAAATGTATCTCTCAGAGATGTTTGAAAAGCTGCATTTAAAGTACAAAGTGCCAGGTTTGGCGCTTTAAGGGCCAAAGAGCCTGAATCATCTCACTTTTTGTTCCCATCACATTACTGTAAGATTTACTCTTGGGCCTAAGCTACTTGTTAAAATTGCAAATACTATCATTTCACTTCCTGCTGAGAATGCCAACTCTCTCAAAAGCTACTCTAAGGAATGGCTATTGTTAGCCTTTCTACCACTTCCGAAATGTCCTCTATCTTCATGCTACAGCAAACTACTTGCTCTCTCTGTTCAGTTTCTTCAAGGCCGTGTCTGCTTTTTACACCTGGAACATGCACACATTTCCTATTCCCTGCTTTGAGGCACATCTCAACTAAGAACCCCTTCCAGGGTCATTTTTCAGGGTCCAGGTTCCAAGCTCACAATTCCTTCCTGCAGTGCCATAGCCCACACAGTATGGTGATGCCATGTGCTTCCTCTATGGTCTATAAACTCTTCAGGGAGAATGGCCTTTGTCTTCCTCATATATGGATCCTGAAGCCTTGGACATGCATCTAGAGTATCTTCGAGCTGGGTGCTTAAGTTTCCTCTGACCAACAGAAATCTGCTGGCCAAACTGCACTACAGAAGATCATACATACCAGGTGATACATTAACAGTCGGTCTCTTAGAAGTGGTTCTCAACCTGTTAAGTCATGACCCCTTTGAGAGGCAAATGACCCTTTCACAGGGGTCACAAAATATCAGATATCCTGCATAGCAGGTATTCACATTAAGATTCATAACAGTAGCCAAGATTACAGTTATGAAGTAGCAACAAACTAATTTTCTGGTTGCGGGTCACCACAGCATGAAAAACTGTATTTAAGGGTCACAGCATGGGAATGCTGTCTTAAGGCAATGCATAAAGATGTCTGAAAAGCCACATCTAAGAATTCAGAAGAAAAGCCGTACTAGAATGTTCCTTATTTGATCACTGCCACTTACTGTCAGCGTTTTCTGGTAATAGGTAATCTTTGCCCGGACAGGATAGGGTTTGTTACGGAAGTCCCTCTGACAACTCGCTAAAGCCTGAGTGGCGCCATCACTGTAGATTCAAAAACATCAAGTTACAATGAAGCTTATGACGGTCGTGTCAATCAAAGGACACCAGGGGTCTTCCTGTCAGAACTCTGGGAATCACTGAAAGGAAGGCCAACATCACCACGCTGAAGGGAGGGAGGACATGCTATTATGTGTGGGATAAAGAAAGTATCCAAATCACTCAGGGGAGCTTTATTTATTCTATTTTTTTTTATTTTTTGTGGTGGTGGGAACTGAACCTAGAGTCTCACATGCTAGGCAAGTGCTCTACTACTGAGCTATATCCACAACCCCTCATGGAGTTTTGAAAGTTGCAGGTCTATAAATTCCATCCAAGCCGGCTGAAGCTGAATCTAAAGAACTAGCCAAGGCACCTCTATTTTAAACCACTCCACCAGGGCTATGAGAACTACAAGATCACCAAGGCAGGAAAGAGTGAAGCCAGACGGGTGAAGCAGTTTGCTTACTCTCACTACCTAGAAGCTTTGTAACTCACCAACAGCCTTAACGTGACATTGATATCGGAAAACAGTGGCACAGACTGTATACTCATTAGTTTGCTGAAAGCTAACTATATTCTTGAAAGATTTCTTTCAAGGAACATGGAAAGTGTGGCTCACAGAAAGAATGTCAAGACATAAAGGAGAGTATACCTTTTAACCTAGTTGGCATACAACAGCTCAAGAAAATGAATTAACTTGTTTCATTTGCAGAATGCTGAAATCTGAAGCAATGTTATTTCATGAGGTTTCCAAAAGGAAACTGAAATAAGAAATAATGCAAAAATCACACTTACTTTTGATGGTCATAATTAATTTGTCCATTGTTGCCTACAACTACTATAGCAGGATTATTTTTCTAAAAATAAAGAAGATATATTTATTTTAATATCTGTTATCAATAAATTCATCATTCTTTTTTTTTCATTTTTAAAAAAAATTTCATTTTATGTGCATTGGTGTGAGGGTGTCAGATCCCTTGCAATTGGAGTTACAAACAGTTGTGAGCTGCCATGGGGGTACTAGAAACTGAACCCGGGTCCTTTGAGAGAGCAGGCAGTGCTCTTAACCACTAAGCCATCTCTCCGGCCTTTCATCATTCTTTATTTGCTATGAAATCTCATACTGCTAAGATTCTAGGGCTCTTAAATTTTTAAAATAATATGGCCTAAGCATCCAAGGAGTTATTAAAAGTTCTTTAAAGTGCTAATATTAACTTCTGAAAATCAATAAACAACTAAAGAGAAGATCATCAATCTTAAAGCTTCAAGCCACAAGTTAATATTTTCAGCATATTAAGTAAATTTTGTTTTTGATTGTTTTTACCATATCATCAGGACAACTGGCCTAAGAACTGACTGACATAGGAGATTCCTGCATGACAGTGACAGCCAAGCACTTGAATTCTGCCACAGCTTCCACAGATGTGAGTTTCACTGCCCACATCTAAAGACTCATGCTGATTTTTCAGTTACTGAGCAGATATGGGGTGTGAATTACTGACAGGTCCACAGAGCTAGGTCTCCACCATGCCTGCAAATTAGTGTTCAGAATATCATGTCTACAAAGATTTTTGTTGGTAGTCTCTACTACCAAGACTGATTACCATGCTCAAACTATCAACTGAGTTCTTTACTATTAAAGTTAAGGTGTCAAGTGAGCCACCTTCTCATAGCCTAACTGTGCTAGAAAATACATTAAAATGAAAAATGGCTAACAATAAATATACCTTTCCATCATTGTCAAAAGAATCAAAAAATACTCCAACACCATTCCACATATCAGCTGATCCAAACACAGGGCCGTCCAAGCCTTGATTTTCTGTATACCAAATTGCCTGAAAAACGTACGAGGAAACAGTTAGGAGCCAGTGGTCTTTGCCAACTATTCTCCATCAAGTAAAAGAAATAATCATACTAAGCCATCAGCTCCAATTCGACCTCTTCCAGTCACTCGAAATGTCACTTCCACCTCCCAGTTCTCGAAGGCTGCTTTTGATTTTGTCCACACTGAACCTCTTTGGCTTTTTAATGATGGTGCTATTCGGATTTGATCTGAACTTGGAATAGCATCTATGGTAGAAATCAGAAAAGAAAAGCTTTAAGTTACAATTATGCAGAATTCAATACAATACCTCTGAACTGCGGCATACAGCTACACAGGTCAAGTTTTACTTTCATATTGTAATAAGAATTTTGTTAGAAAAACTTCATGTTAATGGCTAAGACTTTGAAATACATCTGGAGACCTACACCCATGCATTAAAAATCCCACAGGCCAAGGAAGGAGATTAAGACTTAGAGCTTTTGTTTCTATATCGTGGTTTCTGATTTTCCGTGTTTTTATGAGTTTTGTTACTGTGTGTATGTCTGGTTCTTCTGTTGTTGTTGTTGTTTTCTATGTGTGTTTTAAAAAAATTATTTGTTTATTTCTTTTGCCTGTTTGTTTTCTAAAGAGAGAAGGTATAGAGTTGGATGGGTGAGAAGGTAGGGAGGACTTGGAAAGAGATGGGGAGGTGAAATGGTGATCAGAATATGTATGAACCTTCAAGAAAAACAGCAAACTGTTCATTTGATTTAATACCTCCCAGAGATGCCCAATACTAAAAGTCTACAATTTATTTTACCAGTTACCAAAACTTAGGAAAAACATTATGACAAGAGCCCATCAATAGGAATCAAGTTCAGCTGTTGTCACTCTGAACAAATCATTTCCTTACTCTATTGGGCTCATCGTATGTTCATCTGTAAAATGAAAGGGCCAGGCCTGATGACTGTTAAACTATCCTGCATCTATACATTTTCCCAGAAAGAAAGCCAAACAAATTTTAATTTAACAAGCAGTTCTTTATCAACAGTGGACTCCCTCAGAAACCAAGTGACTCTCAAAAGCCTAACTGGCTCAAGTCCCAGTTTGGTCACTTATAACTGCTGGATCTTAGGCAGGTTATTGAATATAAACGTTTATATGGGCATAGCCTGGGGATATTGCTGGTTCAGTTTCAAATCATCACAGCAAGGCACACAAATTTTGGGGGTTTTTCAGTGCATCTAAAAGTTACATTTATATTATACCATACACTGAGTGTATAACAGGATCATATCTAAAATAACAATGAGCAGGCTTTAACTTTAAAATACATTAAGGAGTTGGCACATTAATCGGTGAAGAACACTTGCCTTATCACTCACAGGCCCCGCGTTGAACTCCCAGGACCTCAGAGACAAAAAAAAAAAAAAAAAAAAAAAAAAAAAAAAAAAAAAAACTAACAGTGCCACTGACTGAAACCGCTAAGAGCATTTGCTAAAGACTGAAGCAGCACTAACTGAACAAACCTTCAGTCTCAAAATAAAAACCAAACAAACATATTCTCTGCAAAATTTGATAAACTGAGACACAATAAAACAAGGTACTGTTGTAAATCCTTCAATCCTTTCATTGTAGGCTAATTATTAAGGTACCTAAAAAGCCTAAATCTGAACAATTCGGACATATTCTCTCAGATTGTAACCATTCTGACATTTATGCTAGGAAATAAAACAAGTGTACTGACACTGCTTTACAGGTAGGAGAAGAAAGCTGAAATACTTTAGCGTACTCCCTGGTTCACACACTCAAAGGCTGGAGGTTGAACATTACAGACAAAGCCCTGGACACCAGAAGATTTGAGGCCACTGTCCAAGAACCTTCATCTGTGCCACTTGTTGTATCTATACAGGCAATAACTCCTGGCTGCCTACCACAGCTCGGATAGGAGAACGAAGGTGAGGGCTCTGAGAGTTATGAACAGCTATAGAATACTGTCATTTTTTTTTTTTTTTTTTTTGCCCTTATGAACCTAAGGATATATGCTGACAGTACAAGAGGATGTAAGATTTATAAAAGAGAAAGACTATCTGTGTGATCCTAATTAGGCTGAATGTAATGGGCTGTGTTTAAACTAAAGCTTAAGTTTCTTTGCTTTTTTTGTTATTGGTGGTTTTGTTGTTTGTTTCAAACAATGGGCTGCAAGAATAAATGAAAATGGAGGAAAATAAACAACAGCATTAACAGAACAGTAAGGTTAAAAATTACAGCAACCATGAAAGCAAGGCATTCCCATGCCCCCCATACCAGTGAGCCTGACACACACTTGCACTGAGGTACATTTGACACACCCCACCCCCTCCCAGTCCCCAGCTTTAGCCCAGACTGAAATTTAGCCAAGGATGACCTTGAGCTTCTGATCTTCTAGGATTACAAGCATGATCCACTACACCTGGTTTATGGGTGCGAGGGGCTGAACCCAGGAATTGGTGAATGCTGATCAAGCAACCTACAACTCTAGCCCTTTACTCTGACCTTTTTCACAGAAGACTAGATATGTTGCTTGTGGCTCTGTAAAAGAGAGTGAAGATAACTAATTTCAGTGGCTGATTAACATTCTGATTTTGCTGGTGCCAGTGTGATGGAATAGAGTACAGGAGACAGGCCATGGAGATGTACAGACGTGAAGAGGTGCCAACCAATTCATCATCATTTCCAAAGGAAAAACAGAAACAGTAGGTCTGAAAACCTGTGTTTGGTGTCATGTTCATCATCTTTGTGCTTTCGGAGCAATGCTATCATGATAACACAAGCCCAGAAGGCTTATAATAAATGGGCTGAGTAACAACATAATTGTACTCTCCTTCAACTACATAATGACTCGGTCATTAAGTTGAATGAAATTTACACCTGATAATTGCACATTAATTTGAGGAAAATGGCCCTTCCTGGAAGTGTGCTTTCTATTCAGCAATTAGTTTCTAGATGTGAAACATTTTGTTTCTGTCTCTGGACAACCTCAGACATTACAGAAAAGCCTTCCATACGTGATCCCTTAGTTACACACGAAAATAGAAGCTATTTACCACTTGCTTTAATGGCAAGTATCTGACAGACACTGAAGAGCTTAAGGAACAACAAGTGCTACTGACAGTCTTTGGTCAGCAGTGACACATCAGCAGTAAGTGCAGACACCTTTTCTTTTCACCAGGGCAGTGCTTGGTCATGCTTCTGTTATCTGTGTCTAAGTAATAAAACTTGAAGCAGAAATTATTTCATTTTTCTAAGGTGTCTTAAAAAAGAAGACAGGAGTCTATTCTTAGTTCCATATTCCGAAACAACCAATATAACATATATATATATATAAACATTTATATCCTGTACTAACTAAATAAAGACGCCAATATAATGTTTATAGTGTAAAGATCAAAGACCACACGCGCCGTCACTGAGAAGCAATTCCATCGTGTAATGCCAACATTTTAAGACTCTATGCTCTCTTGGAGCACTCAGGAAGGTAGGTACAAACCTAACCACTGACCACTGCTAACTCCCTAAAACAAGCAAGCAGAAGGACGCTGTTGGAACTGGTCTCAAATTGCTACGGCCAGGTAAAGTGTACTCTTGAGACGTGGCATCTGGGTGTAAGGAAACATGACACCCAGAAGTTGGACTGAGTGCAAGGAACTGCAGAAAGTAATATAACACCTCCGAATCAGGCAGAAAGTACCGATGAGGATTAAAGAACAGAAGACTGGAAGTGGGTGGACAAGCTGGGTGAGAAGACCCTGGAACGCGCGGGGAACCTGCGGGCTGGAGGGACCCGGAGTGGGGACTGTCTGGGGAGTCCTGCCCCAGTGCATGTGCCGTGCAGGGCACTGCAGGGCCTTGGGGAGATGGACCGAGGGGATGAAGGCAAGGAAGGAACCCGGCCCCTGCCCCAGCCCCGGCTTACTCCCCGCGTGGGCCCAGAAGGGCACGGTCCCATCGCTCTGCACCAGATGCGGCCCCTTAAAGCTGTACTTGTATTCGAAACGGCGGTGTGGCAGGTCGGCTGCGCTGCCCGAGGTGCCGGGGGCCGCGGCGTCGCCTCCCACGCTGTCGCTCCCGACGAACTGGCTTAAAGACAGCAGCAGGGCGCAGAAGGCGCAGAAGAACGACCGCGCTCCGGCCCCGGGACCCTTCCGCCAGGACCCCGCCATCTTGGATTCTGGGACGCAGAGGCCGGCGGGAGAGGGAGGGGCGCTGGAGCCGCGGATGGCCAACAGGGCGCTCACTGATTGGTGGAGCCCGGGAGACCCGAGGGCGAGGGATGAGCCCCGCCCCTGGCCTCCTCTGTCCTGGAGGCCACTAAGGAATGAACATTTGTGGGAGGGGCTCTAGAAGAGGTGGGGCAAGTCTGGGGGTGGGGGGCGGAGCTGGCCCAAGTGCTCAAAAGTCCGGCAGCTTGGGGTGGAGGGCGGGGATAGGGACGGAGATGTCCCTACTACCAATTTCTTCAAGCCCTAGAGTAGCGGATTTCTGTGGCTTAGAAAACCTTGTGTGCTGAGACTTGTGCAGCCAGCCCATAATAAACTATATTTAGAATAAAGGCATTCATTATTCAGTGGCTGGCTCTCATTTTCTGAACTTTCCAGAGCCGACAAGAAATACTAACAGTCTCAGCCTACTGAGAACATCTCAACAGAGCCCTAGGACCTTTTGGGTGGTTGAATCAGGGCGTTTATGTCGAACCAGCTTTCACTTCTCAAAAAAGTAATTCCAAAGGTAATTTCCGAATATTCGAAACCGTAGCTCAGTGCATTCAAATAAAAGTGGGTAGTTTTGTTGCAAGCTTACATGCTGTGGGCAGAGTCAACGAATAAGTTGCATTTTATTTTATTTTTACTATTTTGTTTGTATGTGATGTGTGCGCGCGCCCAACCACACACACCATGCACTATAGCACACATGTGGAGGTCAGAGGACAACTCTATGGGGTAGGTTCTCTCCTTACAGGTTTATGTATGTTCTGTCCTTGGTGTTAAGCTCAGGTCCTCAAGTTTTTGTAGAATCTGTATTTATTGTAGTATATTCGCGGTCATCTAGTTTCGTTTTATGATGATTATTAAAAAAAAAAAAAACCTGAAAAACAGCGAAATGATCTGTGTTTCATTTTACACACAGTTCTTGTCCATCTGGCCTGTCAATGGCACACTGTCTTTAGGACTGCATGATCGCTTGTTGTTGTTGCTATATGAAGCACTGTATCCTTAGGATTGTATGATGGCTTGTTTTTTTGAAACACACTATCCTTAGGACTGCATGATCACTTGGATGGATAGATAGATAGATAGATAGATAGATAGATAGATCCAATATATATGTATTTGGACCTCCCAGTTTCTCCTTTTCAGATTCCCTAGCCATTAGTAGTAAATCTCTTTCTAGAGCACAAATCAAACCTTCACAGGGAATGTAGCCACATATAAGGTTTCCTACTCATTTAAACGGAAGTACAGTTCTCAGCTACTGGAGAAATATGTTTCTTTCTTCCACTCCTAGGTACAACAGTAACAAGATCTACAGCTGTGCCTCATTGGACTGTGGGGTCTTTGCCCTAGGTGCTCTGGGATCTTAACTCCACATCTTCCCCCTTTTCAGTTCTCTAATCTCTACAAACCATAGCTCGAATCTGCACAGTAGCCTGCAACTATTTATTAAGCAAACATAAGGTTAATAAAAACTGGCAAACACTGAGTTCTTACAGTGTGACAGAAGCTGCACCAAGGCCTTTATATCTAAGGTAGGCACTATTGTTACAATACCAGTGTTGCTGTTATAGTGTAGGAATGGATGTATGAAACAGTCAGATAATTTGCCCAGTGTCACACAGTAAAAACAGAGATGGGTTTTAATTCTAAAATTTCTGTGACTACAGTCCTCAGTATTAGGACTCATTCTATCTTAGGCAATAAATATAAAGAATATTTTAAACAAGTGTTTATGGTTTCAACCTATGAGAGACCTGAATGCCAAGTACAAAAAAAAAAAAAAAAAATGCAAGTTGGGCTGAAGAGATGGCTCAGTGAAAGTTTAAAGCACTTGTTGCTTTTGCAGAGGACCAGGGCTCAATTCCCGATGCTCAAATGGCAACCCCCAACTCACAACCATCGGTAACTTCAGTTCCAGGAGATCCCATGGTTTCTTCTGGTCTCTGTGGGAACCAGGCACAAACATGATACACACATAACAGACAAAACATTCCTACATGCAAAAGAAAATAAACAAATTTAAAAAAAAAGAAACACAAGCCATAATTTGAGAATTTCAAGGACTAAAACATAAATTATGTGCTGTAATGCTGTTATATTTTTTAATGTCATTAAACATAACATATATACAAAGTGCCTAGGCCTTAAGAACACTGCCTAATGAATTGCCCATAGCAAATGTATCTTATGTAATCAGCTTTCTGTTTTAAAAAGAAAGAGCAAAGAAACACATTCTTATCTTGTACATCTGCAGAAGCAGAATTCCTGGGACACAACTCTATACAGTTTTTGAAGCATTTTTACTTAACTGACATTCTTACCAAAAGTCTTCTAGAATGTAAGCTTCTGACTCTGTCTTGCTCATGTCCAGAAGTTCTTTATTTTGATATGTGTTGTTTCAGAACATTTTCTCAAATCATGTCTTCTAATTGGTAATATATATGAGTTTATCACATACTCACACACACGTGCCTTTAACTAGTCAGAGTTTTCTATGTTATGTTTGGAAATCTTTGCCTATTTCCAGATCACAGTGACATTTTCTTTTCAGAGTGTTACTGTTCTAACTTGCATTCTTTATAAGCTGATTTACCCTAAAGAGAGGTGTATTTTCTACATGCATATTCAATTGTCCCAGCAACATTTATAAAACTTTACCTTGCTTTCCTCACTGGTCTTCAGTCTGGTTTCTGTCACATGCCAGGTGACAGGCACATATGAGTGTATTTTTGGACTCTGGTTCCATGGTCAGTTTGCTTATCTCTGCGCCAGTGATTACATCTTTAGTGTAGTGTTGCATAAGCCATGTTGTCAAGTCGTGTGAGTCCTCGGCGCATTCTTCAGCACTGGAGAGGCTAGTCTCCGTCCTTTCTTTTCTTTTCTTCATGTTCTCTTTAAACATTTCATACATGAGTACTGTATTTGCATCCTTCCCCCCTCCAACACCACTGTGTCCTTCCTTAAATAACTGACCTCGTCTTTATGTTATTATTATATTTCACCTATATAGACAAATGTGTCTGTATATAATCTGGTGAGTTCATTAAGTATCGATCATATGGGTGTGTATTTAGGGCTGACTGCGTGGGATGGGATAACTTATAAGGCTGTTCGATGGTGAAAAAGAGTGATTCTCCCTTTCTCAGAAGCCATAGCTCTTCATCTAGGCTTGGGACCATATGAGGTTTCCCTCCTCTGCACTGAAATGTTGCCTGGAGGTGTCATTATCTAGGTCTGGTTTAGGCAACCACTTTGTTGCGATTTTCATGTATAGAAGTCACAGTCTAGGGGCTGTAGAGATGGATCAGTGATTAAGAGCACTGTCTGCTCTTCCAAAGGACCCATTCACAGTACCCACGTAGCAGCTCACAATTGCCTGTAATGCCAGTTCCAAGGGCTCTGACAACTTTACACTAATGCACATAAAATAAAATTAAAATAATTTTAAAAAGAAGTCACAATCTCACAGCAGACCTCCTAGTCTTCTGTGTCTTACAATCTTTGCACCTCCTCTTCTGTAATATAGCCCACGCTGAGGGTATAACGGTTGCATTGTAGATGTATCACTTGCAGTTGGGTAACCCACAATCTGTTTTGTGTATTTTGATCAGTTATGGCTTTCTTTGATAGTCTCCATCTTTGATGAGAGGTGAGAGAGACACTTATCATATCTGTGTGTATATGAATAAGTATTTGGAAATAAAAAAATAAGTATTTAAAATCTAGTTGGAAATTATTCTGGTATAGAAAGTGCCATTGGTATGTTCTCCTCTATGGTCCATAACCTCACCAGCCACAAACAAGTTTACCCTAAGAGGCATACATTCCCTCTCATTGGAAGGAAGCAGGCAGGCTCTATTCAGTCCTTCGCTCTCACTCCTACCCTCCAGATCCAATTCCCCAGTCTCATCCCCAGTTCTGCAGCTGACTACCTGCTGTGACCTCCCCTTCCTCTCTCTCCCCATCTCCAGTGAGCACTCAGATCTACATACATCTTTGCCACATCATCCCTTTGTCTTAGCCACCAGTTTTAGCTGGCCCTCCTCAGGAACCCACTGATTAAATTTTCTAGAGAAGCAGGTAGGTGATCTTCAGATCTTCACCATCTCTTCCAAAGCCAGTCTCCTAGGTGACGCTCAGCTCTGCATCAGACTTCTTGTTCCTCCTTCTCTGCCCCCATTCCCAAAGAACTAAGCAGATCCCAGCGGAACAGCTCGTTTTTCTCATCTTCCGGACCCCCCAACTCTCCACATCTAGCACATTCACATTACTGTCAATACCCACTACCTAGAAAAATACTCCATCCCGAATACTGGTGGCCACACCTGGCATGATCTCAGAAACATTCCCTACCTGTCAGTTCAGAGACATCACTCTCTCCTAAGAACCAGGAAAGGCAACAGAAACCAAGAAATGGAATACTCACCCAGCAAAGACAAATCCCAAACTACAATTGTCTAGATGGCAAGAAGCCAGCATAAAATCATAATAACAGCTAGGACACTATGTCTCCACGATAGCCCAGCAACTCTACTTCAGGAGGCTTTGATAAGTGCAAGATAGCTGAAGTACCAGACAAGAACTTTAAAATAGCCTTTATGAATATGTTAGAGTTCCTTTTAAAGGAAATGAATAAACCAATCAAAGAAATCTATAAAACCACAAATAAACAGTGGGACAAAATGAAGAAACAGTTCAAGACATAAAGTAGAAATGGAATCAATAAGGAAAACCCAACTTGATGGAAAAAATGGAAATGAACCATTTTAGGGACTAGAATAGGAACCTCAGCGGCAAGTCTCACCAACAGAATACAAGAGATGGAAAAAGAGACTCTCAAGTATTGAAAACAAGGTAAAAGAAATGGCTACCTTGGTTAAAGTAAAGGTTAAATCTAAAAATATCCAAGCACAATACATCTGAGAGATCTCAGACACCATGAAAAGTCTACAATCAATAGGAATAGAGGATGGAGAAAA